GCTACAACTCCAACAACACACACAACAGCTGCTACAAGTCCAACAACACAAGAAACAGCTGCTACAACTCCAACAACACAAGGAACAGTGGCCACAACGGTTATAACACAAGGAACAGCTTCTACAACTCCAACAACACAAGGAACAGCTGCTACAACTCCAACCACACATGAAACAGTTGCTACAACTCCAACAACACAAGAAGCGACTGCAACATCTCCAACAACACAAGGAACAGTTGCCACAACGTTTATAACACAAAGAACAGCTTCTACAACTCCAACAACACAAGGAACAGCAGCTACAACTCCAACCACACATGGAACAGCTGCTACAACTCACACAACAAAAGGAACAGCTGCTACAACTCCAACAACGCAAGGAACAACTGCAACATTTCGAACAACACAAGGAACAGCAGCTAGAATTCCAACAACCCAAGGAGCAGCTGCTACAACTACAACAATGCAAGGAACAGTTGCCACAACTTCAATAACACAAGGAACAGCTTCTACAACACCAATAACACAAGGAACAGCTGCCACAACTCCAACCACACAAAAACCAGTTGCTACAACTCCAACAACACAAGAAGCAACTGCAACATCTCCAACAACAGAAGGAACAGCAGCTACAACTCCAACAACACAAGGAACAGTTGCTACAATTCCAACAACGCCAGGAACAACTGCAACATCTCCAACAACACAAGGAACAGCAGCTACAGCTCCAACCACACATGGAACAGCTGCTACAACACCAACAACACAAGGAACAGCTTTTACAATTCCAACAACACAAGTAACAGCTGCTAGAACTCCAACAACACAAGGAACGGCTGCCACAACTACAACAACACAGGGAACAGCTGCTACAGCTCCAACAACACAAGAAACAGCTGCTACAACTCCAACAACACAAGAAACGGTTGCTACAACTTCAAGAACACCAAGAACAGCTTTTACAACTCCCACAACACAAGGAGCAGCTGCTACAACTCACACAACAAAGGGAACAGCTGCTACAACTCCAACAACGCAAGGAACAGATGCTACGACTCCAACAATCCAAGGAACAGCTTCTACCACTCCAACAACGCAAGGAACAGCTGCTGCAACTCCAACCAGACAAGGAACGGCTGCTACAACTCCAACAACACAAGGAACAGCTTTTACAATTCCAACAACACAAGGAACAGCTGCTAGAACTCCAACAACACAAGGAACAGCTGCTACAACTCCATCAACACAAACAACAGCTGCTACAAGTCGAACAACACAAGGAACAGCAGCTACAACTCCAACAAAACAAGGAACAGATGCTATGACTCCAACAACCCAAGGAACAGCTTCTACCACCCCAACAACGCAAGGAACAGCTGCTGCAACTCCAACCAGACAAGGAACGGCTGCTACAACTCCAACAACACAAGGAACAGCTTTTACAATTCAAACAACACCAGAGACAGCAGCTAGAACTCCAACAAAACAAGGAACAGATGCTATGACTCCAACAACCCAAGGAACACTTTCTACCACTCCAACAACGCAAGGAACAGCTGCTACAGCTCCAACCACACAAGAAACAGTTGATACAACTCCAACAACACAAGAAGCATCTGCAACATCTCCAACAACACAAGGAACAGTTGCTACAACTCCAACAACGCAAAGAACAACTGCAATATCTCCAACAACACAAGGAACAGCAGCTACAACTCCAACCACACATGGAACGGCTACTACAACACCAACAACACAAGGAACAGCTTTTACAATTCCAACAACACAAGTAACAGCTGCTAGAACTTCAACAACACAAGGAACAGCTGCTAAAACGCCAACAACACAGGGAACAGCTGCTACAACTGCAACAACAAAAGGAACAGCTGCTACAACTCCAACAACGCAAGGAACAACTGCAACATTTCGAACAACACAAGGAACAGCAGCTAGAACTCAAACAACCCATGGAGCAGCTGCTACAAGTCCAACAACACAAACAACAGCTGCTACAAGTCCAACAACACAAGAAACAGCTGCTACAACTCCAACGACACAAGGAACAGTTGCCACAACTTCAATAACACAAGGAACAGCTTCTACAACTCCAACCACACAAAAACCAGTCGCTACAACTCCAACAACACAAGAAGCAATTGCAACATCTCCAACAACACAAGGAACAGTAGCTACAACTCCAACAACACAAGGAACAGTTGCTACAAATCCAACGACGCCAGGAACAACTGCAACATCTCCAACAACACAAGGAACAGCAGCTACAACTACAACCACACATGGAACAGCTGCTACAACACCAACAACACAAGGAACAGCTTTTACAATCCCAACAACACAAGTAACAGCTGCTAGAACTCCAACAACACAAGGAACAGCTGCCACAACGTCAACAACACAGGGAACAGCTGCTACAGCTCCAACAACACAAGCAACAGCTGCTACAATTCCAACAACACAAGAAACAGTTGCTACAACTTCAAGAACACAAGGAACAGCTTTCACAACTCCCACAACACAAGGAGCAGCTGCTACAACTCCAACAACACACACAACAGCTGCTACAAGTCCAACAACACAAGAAACAGCTGCTACAACTCCAACAACAGAAGGAACAGTTGCCACAACGGTTATAACACAAGGAACAGCTTCTACAACTCCAACAACACAAGGAACAGCTGCTACAACTCCAACCACACATGAAACAGTTGCTACAACTCCAACAACACAAGAAGCGACTGCAACATCTCGAACAACACAAGGAACAGTTGCCACAACGTTTATAACACAAAGAACAGCTTCTACAACTCCAACAACACAAGGAACAGCAGCTACAACTCCAACCACATATGGAACAGCTGCTACAACTCACACAACAAAAGGAACAGCTGCTACAACTCCAACAACGCACGGAACAACTGCAACATTTCGAACAACACAAGGAACAGCAGCTAGAATTCCAACAACCCAAGGAGCAGCTGCTACAACTCCAACAATACAAGGAACAGTTGCCACAACTTCAATAACACAAGGAACAGCTTCTACAACACCAATAACACAAGGAACAGCTGCTACAACTCCAACCACACAAAAACCAGTTGCTACAACTCCAACAACACAAGAAGCAACTGCAACATCTCCAACAACAGAAGGAACAGCAGCTACAACTCCAACAACACAAGGAACAGTTGCTACAATTCCAACAACGCCAGGAACAACTGCAACATCTCCAACAACACAAGGAACAGCAGCTACAACACCAACTACACAAGGAACAGCTTTTACAATTCCAACAACACAAGTAACAGCTGCTAGAACTCCAACAACACAAGGAACGGCTGCCACAACTACAACAACACAGGGAACAGCTGCTACAGCTCCAACAACACAAGAAACAGCTGCTACAACTCCAACAACACAAGAAACGGTTGCTACAACTTCAAGAACACCAAGAACAGCTTTTACAACTCCCACAACACAAGGAGCAGCTGCTACAACTCACACAACAAAGGGAACAGCTGCTACAACTCCAACAACGCAAGGAACAACTGCAACATTTCGAACAACACAAGGAACAGCAGCTAAAACTCCAACAACCCAAAGAGCAGCTGCTACAACTCCAACAACACAAACAACAGCTGCCACCAGTCCAACAACACAAGAAACAGCTGCTACAACTCCAACAACACAAGGAACAGTTGCCACAACTTCAATAACACAAGGAACAGCTTCTACAACTCCAACCACACAAAAACCAGTTACTACAACTCCAACAACACAAGAAGCAACTGCAACATCTCCAACAACACAAGGAACAGCAGCTACAACTCCAACAACACAAGGAACAGTTGCTACAAATCCAACAACGCCAGGAACAACTGCAACATCTCCAAGAACACAAGGAACAGCAGCTACAACTCCAACTACACATGGAACAGCTGCTACAACACCAACAACACAAGGAACGGCTTTTACAATTCCAACAGCACAAGTAACAGCTGCTGGAAATCCAACAACACAACGAACAGTTGCTACAACTCCAACAACGCAAGGTACAGCTGCTACAACTGTAACAACACAAGCAACAGCTGTTACAACTCCAACAACACAAGGAACAGTTGCTACAACTTCAAGAACACAAGGAACAGCTTTTACAACTCCCACAACACAAGGAGAAGCTGCTACATCTCCAACAACACAAACAACAGCTGCTACAAGTCCAACAACACAAGAAACAGCTACACAAGGGACAGTTGCCACGACTTCAATAACACAAGGAACAGCTTCTGCAACTCCAACAACGCAAGGAACAGCTGCTACAACTCCAACCACACAAGAAACAGTTGCTACAACTCCAACAACAGAAGAAGCAACTGCAACATCACCAACAACACAAGGAACAGCAGCTACAACTCCAACAACACAAGCATCAGTTGCTACAACTCCAACAACGCCAGGAACAACTGCAACATCTTCAATAACACATGGAACAGCAACTACAACACCAACCACGCATGTAACAGCTGTTACAACTCCAACAACACAAGCAACAGCTTTTACAATTCCAACAACACAAGTAACAGCTGCTAGAACTCCAATAACACAAGGAACAGCTGCTACAACTCCAAGAACACAGGAAACAGCTGCTACAACTCCAACAACACAAGGAACAGCTGCTACAACTCCAACAACACAGGGAACAGCTGCTACAATTCCAACAACAAAAGGAACAGCTGCTACAACTCCAACAACGCAAGGAGCAAGTGCTACAACTCCAACAACACAAACAACAGCTGCTACAAGTCCAACAACACAAGAAACAGCTGCTACAACTCCAACAACACAAGGAACAGTTGCCACAACTTCAATAACACAAGGAACAGCTTCTGCAACTCCAACCACACAAGAAACAGTTGCTACAACTCCAAGAACACAAGAAGCAACTGCAACATCTCCAACAACACAAGGAACAGCAGCTACAACTCCAACAACACAAGGGACAGTTGCTACAACTCCAACAACGCAAGGAACAGTTGTTGCAACTTCACCAACAGAAGGAAGAGCTTCTACAAATCCGACAACGCAAGGAACAGCTGCTACAACTCCAACAACCCAAGAAACAACTGCAGCATCTCCAACAACACAAGGAACAGCAGCTACAACTCCAATCACACAAGGAACAGCTTTTACAATTCCAAAAACACAAGGAACAGCTGCTGCGACTCCAACGACACAAGAAACAACTGCAACATCTCCAACAACTCAAGGAACAGCAGCTACAACTCCAACAACACGAGGAACAGATGCTGCAACTTCAACAACACAAGGAACAGCTTTTACAATTCCAACAACACAAGGAACAGCTGCTACAACTCCAACCACACAAGAAACAACTGCAACATCTCCAAGAACACAAGGAAGAACAGCTACAACTTCAACAACACAAGGAAGAGATGCTACAACTCCAACAACACAAGGAACAGATTCTTCAACTCCAACAACACAAGGAACAGCTTCTACAACTCTAACAACGCAAGGAACAGCTGCTACAACTCCAACAACACAGGAAACAGCTGCTACAACTCCAACAACGCAAGGAACAGCTGCTGCAACTGTAAAAACACAAGCAACAGCTGCGACAAGTCCAACAACACAAGGAACAGCTGCTACAACTCCAATAACACCAGAAACAACTGCAACATCTCCAATAACACAAGGAACAGCAGCTACAACTGCAATAACACAAGGAACAGTTGGTACAATTCCAACAACACAAGGAACGAATTCCACTGCTCCAGCAACACAAGAAACAAATGCTATAACTCCAACAACAAAACGATGGACAATTCCAACCACAAGTGGAGGAACTGGTACAACCCCGACAAGACAAGGAGCAAATGCAACAACTCCAATAAGAGAAAGAATAACTGGTACAACTTCGACATCACAAGGAACAGTTAGTACAGCTCCAACAACACAAGGAACAAATTCCACTAATCCAGCAACACAAGGAACAAATGCTATATCTCCAACAACAAAACGAGGGACAATTGGAACCACAAACGGAACAACTGGTGCAACTCCAACAACACGAGGAGCAAATGCAACAGCTCCAATAACAGAAAGAAAAACTGGTGCAACTTCGACATCACAAGGAACAGTTGGTACAGCTCCAACAACACAAGGAAGAAATTCCACTACTCCGGCAACACAAGAAACAAATGCTATAACTCCAACAACAAAACGATTGACAATTCCAACCACAATCGGAGGAACTGGTCCACCTCCAGCAACACAAGGGGCAAATGCCACAACTCCAATAACAGAAAGAATAACTGGTACAACTTCGACATCACAAGGAACAGTTAGTACAGATTCAACAACACAAGGAACAAATTCCACTACTCCAGCAACACAAGGAACAAATGCTATATCTCCAACAACAAAACGAAGGACAATTCCAACCACTAACGGAACAACTGGTGCAACTCCAACAACACGAGAAGCAAATACAACAGCTCCAATAACCAAAAGAAAAACTGGTACAACTTCGACATCACAAGGCACAGTTGGTACAGCTCCAACAACACAAGGAAGAAATTCCACTACTCCAGCAACACAAGGAACAAATGCTATAACTCCAACAACAAAACGAGGGACAGTTCCAACCACAAACGGAACAACTGGTGCTACTCCAACAACACGAGGAGCAAATGCCACAACTCCAACAACAGAAAAAACAACTGGTACAATTCTAACAGCTGTAACGACACTAGGAACGCCTGCTGGAACTCCTGCAAGGAAAACAACATCTTCAGCAGCGCAAGGAAGAAATTCCACTACTCCAGCAACACAAGGAACAAATGCTATAACTCCAACAACAAAACGAGGGACAGTTCCAACCACAAACGGAACAACTGGTGCTACTCCAACAACACGAGGAGCAAATGCCACAACTCCAACAACAGAAAAAACAACTGGTACAATTCTAACAGCTGTAACGACACTAGGAACGCCTGCTGGAACTCCTGCAAGGAAAACAACATCTTCAGCAGCGCAAGGAAGAAATTCCACTACTCCAGCAACACAAGGAACAAATGCTATAACTCCAACAACAAAACGAGGGACAGTTCCAACCACAAACGGAACAACTGGTGCTACTCCAACAACACGAGGAGCAAATGCCACAACTCCAACAACAGAAAAAACAACTGGTACAATTCTAACAGCTGTAACGACACTAGGAACGCCTGCTGGAACTCCTGCAAGGAAAACAACATCTTCAGCAGCGCAAGGAAGAAATTCCACTACTCCAGCAACACAAGGAACAAATGCTATAACTCCAACAACAAAACGAGGGACAGTTCCAACCACAAACGGAACAACTGGTGCTACTCCAACAACACGAGGAGCAAATGCCACAACTCCAACAACAGAAAAAACAACTGGTACAATTCTAACAGCTGTAACGACACTAGGAACGCCTGCTGGAACTCCTGCAAGGAAAACAACATCTTCAGCAGCGCAAGGAAATCTCACTACCGCGATACCACAAGGAAATTTCACAACTCCGACTGTATACGTCGAAAAGACAACCTACTATGCATATGAAATATCTATGACACTAACGGAAATTGATACAAATGCCAGAAATGTAGGAGAAAATCAAACTTTACAAATATTATCTACGCTTATTAACCAATGTTCCGATGAATACACGGAGGAAGGAAATATTCACTATTTTACTTTCGAAAGGTATTTGAAGAAACAGATTTGTCATATCCGTGCATTTAAGAAAGAGAAATGTGAATTAACATTAACAAGCCTAAGATGTGGTAGCCTCATTACCGAATATAAGTTACTGCTTGGAGTGCACGGTTTTGATCCTAGTGGTATCTCGAAAAAAAAAGCCGGTGATGTAATTAAGGATGAAATAAAAGATGGTTCACTTGGTTCATTTGCAGTAGATACGAATTCCTTTAAATCGACACCAAAAGGAAAAACCACCGAACCAAAAGCGACCGAAGAACACCCACAAGCTAATCTTAATGTATATGTGATTGTCACGATGAAGTGTACGTGGTATGAATTTTGTAAAGTTGAGGAACATTTCAGAGAAAAGATCGCTGAAAGGTCGCATGATCTGAAAGGCGAACAATTGAAAACTATTGACATATTCATTATAAACGGCGAGAGGAATTGTGGAAACCCAAATAAAACCAGGGAGGTTATTGGTGTTTGGTTTGTGGCGCTGGGATCAGATGCGGATAAAGTAACCATACAAATTGGGAATGATTTGAAGGAATTGCTCGATTCGAGGCAGTTGAGGAAACTTGGAAATCAATTTGAAACCAAGGTAATGTTGCGTTTTATTCTCTTTGTATGTTTTTTAGCGAATACATTTACAGGCATACGAGACTGGAGGGAGCGAGGGAGGGATTACCCTCCCAACATTTTTAAAACCAAGGAAATTCGGGGAAAATTCAGGTTGTCTTATCAAAATGTTCCTTAAATATTGGCGGAAACTTAAAAGTTAATCCCCCTGATGCTCCCGGAATTTTCTGGTGTATGTCATTGAGCGTTTACGCGTTAAGCTGGCTACATTTGAAATTTCTTTTTAACGAAACGGCAATTAATTATGGCGCCAGCACTCATTTTAATACGCCAGAATACAAATCGTACACAGCAAATCGTAGCGTGTAAACGTAGCTTTAGCGTTTCCATCCGTAAGCTGCCACCCTCCTAATGCTTTTTAGAGCGTAGTTTTGAAATGAAAAATGGGGGGGGGGGGGATTTGTGGGCAGACAGTGTTGCCTATCTTTCGCGCATCTACTCGCAAATTATTAAGTGGCCTTCTCCCAAATGAAGTCGTGGCGACGCCACTGTTAGGAAATGTCTGTTAGTGAATGCTTCATCATATTCAAAACGCTCGCGCTCGGCCGTCTTATTCGTTTTCTAAGGTTTATTAAATGTTTTTATTTGATATCTAGATAATTAATGTAGAATTTGGTGGAAAAAATGCGCCTCGGTCTTCGAGCACGTCAAATAATAACAAAATATGGCTTGCTGTTGGGATCACCTTGGCAATTCTTCTCGTGCTTCTTTTAATCTTCTGGGTAAGTAGCAAAGTACTACTCTTAGATTTTTAAGCATTGTTTGTTAGTTGGGCTGTCGGCATGATACAATAAAAACAATTTAGCTAGGTTTTTGTATTTCGACTTTAATGTACCCCAAACTGTGTCGTGTCAACCAAGTAATTGATGCGTATCTTCACAAGAATATAAAATGCAATTTTCTTATTGCATGTTAGCCTTTTTATTTTTAAATTAAACCGTAATTTGTTTTTTCATAGAAGTGCTATACGCGAAGTAGGGCTAGGCAGGCGACATGTGACGAGGAACAAGGACCTAACAACCTCGCCATGGACAAAATTGATGGTTCCAAATGGAAGCCTACGCTCCTTGTCAACGAAGGATTCGATTATGAAGGAGGAAATTATACACCGGTAGGTGGGATGAAGGACATGTCAACCCCACATAGTCTCGCTGATATCAAAATTGCAAAGCAGTAAAATATCTATGTCCATTGGACTCTAAGTATACATCATGTCATAAAATACGTCAAACATCAAAATCTCTTTGTAACATCAAATCTCTTTCAAAATAGAATTGGCTGTTGCCCTCAGCGTGTAGGATTAATGCATTTACCTTCATTCAATATGACCATTAATCCCTGTCAGGAATAATGTACTGTATGAACATGAAAAATTAAACTACATGCTTCTATTATATATAATGGAACACATTAAAAATAAAGTTTTTTGTGGTGCAAATTTTTCAAATTTCCTATTGAATGGTATTCTTTCTAAAGCTGGTATTTAATAAAACAATTAATTAGCTATGTGAAGGTAAATAGTGCAAAGGTTCCTTTAACTTCGTTCAGTGAAAGATTTGATCGTCTGTAAACGGACCAAAACGGAAGACGTTTCTCTTCGCACGGAGGTCAAAAGCGCAAGAATATTCGCAGCTGAACAGTCAATTAACCATTCCCCGAGTACCAGTATGCTAATGCGTTTTAACTTGACGATGTTATTTTGTTTCTTTTTGTGATCAAATGCAGTCATCGCAAAGAGTATCGACATTTGAAGATGCAGCAGAGCAAGAAAACCCTTTGAAGAAAGCGGAAAATGAATATATTTTTCTTGTTCTTAAGAAAGAATGTAAGGATAGCAATAAGCAAGAGCCGAGTGATCAGGGGGAGGAGGAAAAGAAGGCATCACTTGGCAAAAGCGAGGATACTGATGATCGATGAATTAGGTAAGTATTATCCATTTCATTTTATGTAAATTTTCGTATACAAATAGATTGAACTATATTTATTGCACTTTTACCTCAAATGGTCATGTTTTCATGTGGTTATCAGGGAGTTTACGAATGTAAGACGACGTCAGGACGACGGCTATCAATACAATGACATTAATCCTATAGTACCAAAGAAATGAATAATTAAAAGTCCAAACGGGGTTTTAGACGTCATCCAAGCTCTGTTCACAACGGCAAAATGCATATTTTCAAGTTTATTTTATTTGACAGGTAGCTTTTCCAACAGAGTTGATCAACATTGCTCTGAAGGTTAAAGCTCTGTTTTACTCGTTCGAAACTATTTTAAATTCATACGAAAGTAAATACATGACCAGATTTCCATACAATCATTTATTTCAAACAGTTTGTAATTCAGCCGTCGTCCTGACGTCGCCGTCTTACATTCGTAAACTCCCTATTTGTGCACATTTGTTTGTGACCATAAAGTAGTATAGGGAAGGGGAATTCTGGGGCGGGCGGTGGGGGCGGTGCACTTAGCATCGCCCATGACGTCATCATTTTTTAAATCATTTAATTTACTCAGGTTCATGTTAATTTATTTGAGCTTTAATTAATTTAACACTTGACAGAGCCGCTACGTTGTTTATACGCAGTTTTCAGTTTATTTTTGTCCTATACTTCGCGGACGTCTGTTATCTACAGATTTTAGTTTAATTCAGGCTACAGTAGTATAGGAAGTAGCGGTTCTAGACCACTTTTTCAGCCCGCGATCCCACCCCACTTTCGGTCAGCGGTTTCCCGAATTTTCCCCAAAGAACGCGGGCTCATTTTTCTAGACCATTTTTTTTCTAGACCATTTTTCCGTGGTCTTTTTACCTCATTTTTTTATCTATTATTTATCAGAATTATTTAACAATTTATTTTTCTATTGAGTGGTGTCCGTACGCGTAACTTGTAACACCATCTTCAAGTAAGTACCTTTTATCATCGAAACAACTAAGTGTGATTTTCTTCAGTTCGTAAGTTCCGATTTTATGTTTGACGCTTTTGATTGTGTTCATCTTATGTCTCATCAAACCTCTCGTCTTAATTACGTTCTTAAAGTTTTCATGAGTGAGTTTGTTTCTGATCACATACTTTTTCACTCCTTTCGCGGTCATTCCACCTCCACCACTTTCCTTCACATAGGAGTACATCTTCGACCTCAACCCAACGAATTCAATCACTGGTACTCCCGCAGCTTCATCCTTAAACTTACCAATCACCTTCTTATTGTGAGCTGAGTAGTATGGGGAATCTTTCGGATAGTCTGAGTTGTCCCAGCAGTCTTTCTCCTCACCGATCCTCCTGAAGTCCTCATACACATCATCAGTCTTTATTTCATACATCAGACTGTCAGTATCTGTGAACAGTAGCTTTGACCTGTCACCGTACTCCTTCTTAATTGTATTGTAATGGAAGTCGTACATAAGAGTCATTGATAAGTCTAAGATGCTCATTCCAACGTAGCACGGTTTGTTTAGAGTTAGAACTTCCTTCGTTCGCTTTACAACTATTAAGTTCTCATTCATAATTCTATGCGACTGGAAGCACGGCGACGCTGTAAGTTTTAGGAGGTCATTTTCCGATGACACTAATTTCACGTCAACTCTCTTCCTTAGATTCTCCATGGTCTTTCCATAGATTGAGTTGTTCATTAATTTGAAGAAGTTCTTTTCAAAAGTATTACGTGCAACTGACCGTTTCTTCGTATTGAAGTCGATATAGTTCTTAAGCCAGGGGGACTGTTTGAATGAGACGGCTCTATGGACCTTCGTAAGTTTCATTCCGAGTTCCGTGTAGAGTTTCAGATTACGGGCGTGTAAGACGTAGTTTTTTCTGGGACCTAGGGAGTTCACCAGTTTTCTTACTCCTCCAATTGTCAGCTGGAATTTATCAGCAATATCCTTCGCGTAGTCTGACAACATTGAGGCACCAATCTCCTTGCTCTCCGGTGCTAGCGGATAACCGTTGTGTAGATTATGAAGTTCCTTTGGGTATTCCATGTCAACCTCTAAAACCATACCCCTTCCGTTGTCTCCAAGGTAATCATCTAAGTTTGCCACATCGAAATCCTCGATCCACTCAAACTCACCATTAGGCAGCGGCTGCGACATTGCCCAGCCATATAAATTGTTGGCATCGAGGTACATAAGGAACTTGTTTTCAAGATCTTCGTCGTACGTTTCCATGTACTTATTATTTGCTGTAGAGTGTCTGTGAGCAATGTGACTTATACCACCTCTCATTCCCTTCTCAAAGAACTGGAACATGTCCATATCACTTACCAATTCTATCTCCTCACCTGACTGTTTCAGGAAGGCGTCCCAACTTAGACTAGGTGCTGATATGTAGTGTGCAGGGTCAAGCTTGTAATTTTCCAAGCAAGTTCTCCTGAAGTTTTCGAAGACATCTGCTAGAAGAAGAACGTCAGTTTCCAGGTAGAGATCGTGGTAGTCTCTCATGGTTTTCATCTTAAAGTGATCCCATACTTTTAGCGCTCTTTGGTAATCTTCTTCTTTCACCTCCGACTCATATAGAGATGAGTAGAATTTGTCTCTGCTTGGAAGACCCTCAACATTAAGTTTACTAATGTCATCCAAATATTCATATGGAAATATACCTTTTTGTGTCACAAGTTTGAAGTCCTCACCAGTCCACCTCTTACCAACTATCCTGAAGTCTTCAGGTGAAAGGTTACTCACAAGTGCTTCCAAAGAAGAAGCCATGAACTGTATCGAGTCAATGAACACAAGACTTTTACCTAGTGAGAAGGAAATATATTTTTCCATATTATTTGGGACAACGTTGATGTTCATCTTGAACTTTCCAATCTCCTGCATTATCAGATGGCTATCGTAACCTCTTAGGTTGTGGAAAACCACCGGAACTTTCCATGTGATTCTATACTTCAGATTACACATATTATGGGCAGCTCCACGATACATTCCAGTTACATGATCGTGATCTCTCACTCTATCATCACCTAAGTCATTACCACATATGGAGCAGTTTCTTGTCATCCAGAACTCAGCTTCTTGCTCTGGTGTAATTACCATCTTTTTCTTGAATATTTTGTTTACCATTTCCCGGCACTTAATAGACTCCTTCAATACTGTCTTCAGGAAGACATTCGTGGCGTCCTCACCAACGTAACTTATATATTCACCAGAGTACTGATCATCATAATGACACACTGTTTTCAACCCAAAACTACAGGCTTTGTGTGTTTGGTAAAGGTCTGTAGTACTCTTTTCCTCAGAGCTTTCGGGATCAACTTTTCTCTCTTCGGGAACCAGTATGGACTCGAAGTCGGCGTATATTACAAATGGTGCAGGCATTGAGTTCCTGTGATTTTTGAACTTTATTTTCGTACCCTTACTCGGAAGCTTTGTGGCCTGAGTTCCATTTACCTCGAGACATGTCTCCTTATGTTTCTTCAGCAGCTCTTCACTCTTACAGCTGTGGAGGCAATACAGACAGAAGTGCTTCTTATGTTCGTATCCACTTACACTATACAGCATTCTATTAATGTCCTTTATTAGAACATAGTGGTTGTTTCCATTACCGTCACCTAAGAGTAGCAGCTCCATATGCTCGTCGTATTTTGTCTTAGAGTTTCTTATTGGATAGAACTGCTTTTTACCCTTATAGCCGAACACTGATATGCTTATACAGTTTCTTCTCTCGATTTTGTCAATATCACTTATTTTCACAGGGAAGTCTATTCCCTCATAGTCTAGGTTTTCAGAGAACTTAACATCCTGTTGTGTTATAGTAGTTGCTCTCCTGACCTTTGGTCTCACGTGTCTCACATGACTCCACATGAAACATTTGTTATCTTCATTTTTCATATTAATGAGACCACATTTTGGATTACTAATGTCTGCGGGTAATTTCATATATGAACTACCCTTTAGAGGTTTATACATTGCAATGTTAACGTAGTGGCTTTCAATATTTAGTATAATCCAATTTGAACCTAGGTTTTGAAATGTTTCGATTCTGGATAGGATTGTCAGCTGGTTTTGTGCCGCAGTGCTTTCGATATCCTCAAAGTTGGTCGCGGTTCCAGTTTTCGACTTGAAGTATATTGAATCCTTCTTTGTTTTGTCATTACCGATTTCCTTCGACATTCTCACCTTGATTGTTTCTGTATATTTTAGACCTCCCATTCTCTTCAACTCGTTCACTAGTATTCCCCTCACCACCTGCCTACTTGCTGTCATCTGGTCCAGTGGGTCCATATAGTTTGGAGTTATCGAGTAGGTCACAGCTGCCCCATTTGCGGCGGTTTCTATTTTCCTGTAGGATGGCTTATCGAGGTATGTTCCAAATGGATCGATTTCATGTTCCTCAGGTGTAACCACCACAGGCTGCTCCACAACTTCCCTAGTCACCCTTGCGGGCTTTCGTAGCTTTGGAGGAGGCACTGGTTTTTTAGTCCTTGGCTTAGGGACAGGTCTTTCCTTAGGGATTTTAGTTCTGGGTTTAGGGACAGGTCTTTCCTTGGGAAGAACAGTTCTGGGCTTAGGAGTTGGTCTCCATGGAGTTACACCTTTTGGCACCTTAGGAGCTTCCCTTGTAGGTTTTTTACTGAGATCCACTGTCACCGTGAACTTATTTGGTCCCACCTGTGTTATGACACTGTTCGTAGGAACCGAGAGTTTTATCCGACCCTGGCTTATGAACCTTTCTGCGACAGTCTGTCTTTTAGCCTTAGGTGGTCTACCTCTTCTCTTGGGAACCGTAACTTCTCGAGTTTCAACCACCTTAGCCTTTGGTGGTCTACCTCTCCTTTTGGCAACCTTAACTTCTTTGGTTTCGGCTACCGCGGCCTTTGGTGGTCTACCCCTTCTTTTGGGGGTTACTTCACCATCAACCTTGACCTTTGGTGGTCTACCTCTAGGACGCTTGGGATTTCTAAGGTTTTCGAGCCTCTTCATCTCCGCGTTTACCTGAGGATCGTCCGTTCTCCATCTACCTCCCATTGTTGGTGGTAGACCTTCAACTCCTCTACTTAGTAGGCTCTGATACGCTTCCTCAACTAGTAAAGCCTTTGCCTTCTGCCTCTCGGAATATTTCCATGTTGGCATTATTCCTCTCTTACCCTTGTAGTTCAATGGGAGTCTTCTTGGCCTTTTGGGATCCGTAGTTCTATCGCCTTCATCGATGAATAGTTTCTCTTCCGCGAAGATGTTCTCTCCCTTGCCCTTAGGTGCAACACGGTAGAACTTATCCTCCGAGATTTTATTCACTTCGTCCTCAAGATTTCCTTCGTAGTCGCTGTCATCGATTATCTCACTAAGTGCCATAAGTTGTTCAACGGTCATATCGTTCATGTCAAAGTTGTTCGCCATTTTTCACTCTTTCTCTATATACTATAGGTAAAAAAAAATAGCCCTAATTAATGGGCTATTTAATTCATTAATTTGTTTAACATTTAATTTAATAATTAATTTAATAATTTAATATTTAATTTAATTTAATTTAATTTAATTTAATATTTAATTTAGTAATTTTATATCTTATTTTATTTAATATCTTATTCTCTAATTTTATATTTTATTTAATTTAATATTTTATTCCTTAATTTCCAGTTATTATAATATTTACAATTTGCGGGTTTCCATCCCAACTCGGGGAAGACCTTACCATATAACCTATTCTCAAGGATGTCCACAATTCTTTTGGTCTTAATGTCCTCAGGAGGGTTTCTTAACGTGATGTTGTTCATGCTGGCTATCCTTAGTAGGTAAAACTTATATCTAACTATGTTGCGCCCCCGTTGCAGTTTAAGTCTTTGTATACATCTTACGATGCTTCTAAACTGCTCCCGTATGGTATCCCTATCCCCTGAAGCAACATGCTCTAATAAGTGTCTCTCAAACCAACGGACTCTATTATGACAAGACTTCTTTTTCAGGTAGTCGTCCTTGTTGTGGTTGTAACTAACATAGTATGTAAAGCCATTCCTGTCACTTGTACCACATTGTGTGCATACATCTGCTCCATCTATTACTACAATAGACTTACTACCACATTCAACACATTCCGGTTCGTATGTATGTACAACCTTCATTTTACCTCTCACGTATTTCATTACTGCGGCCTCCAGCTCCTCAATGCTTTTTGCTCTCCTACCGACTCTTTCCATTTCATCAGGTGTTACCAGTGTCAGCCAGTCCATTCCCTATACTATATGTGTTAAAATATTCTGCTTGTTTTTGTTGTCTGTTTTTACGTCTCCTTATTATTCTCAGTTCTACATATTTTTTAACCGCGGCCTCCAACTCCTCTATAGTGTCTACCCTTTTACCAAGGGCTATTACCTCGTCAACGTCTACCATTGCAAGCCAGCCCATTTCTCTACAATATATGTGTAAAAATTTATTACTGTATTAAATTAATAAATAAGCTGCCCCTCCAACCACCCCACCCATAATTAAACCAAGTATTGCCATATATTCTTTCATCTCTGAGCTAGGTTTGTAGTGGTTACTTAGTTGCGGCTTTCTTGGCATAGCTCTGTGTGTTAGCTCGTTGATTCTCCTGACGAGTTCCAATGCCTTATTTGTTGAATTAATATCCCTATTCGCCTCAGCTAGTTCGGCCTTAAGTTGCGCAAGTCTGTTTCTTCTATCGGTGACTTCCTCAACGTACTTCTCTCTTTCAGCTGTTAGGTTCTCCATTGCAATATTGTGTCTGTGGGCTTCCTCAGCGTATCCATTCTTGTCAAGCATTTTAAATATATATCCTGCTCCGGCAAATGCGAATGCATTAAAGAGTCCTCCTGCTGCTGCTCCCGCCATTGTATAGTCTTACCTAGGTTTTAAATGGATCATCTGGTATATACTTCTTTTCTTTCAGGTAAGAGACCAGCAGAGATGAAAGACTAACTGAGACAGCTAGCTTCGCCATTCCTTTTACATTCTCCGGGGTGCCTAACGGTTCTTTTAATAGTTTTTTCGATGCCATTGATATACCGACTGCTCCTGTTGTAAGTAGCACTGCGTTGTACACTTCCGCGGTCATCTTTGATTCTTTACTCACCTTGCTATAATATATATTATGTTTAACGTATCATTCAAGTGAATCTAACTTGAGCGCATCAGCTTTCCTGGTTACTTCTACAGTTTTAGGGATGTACTTAGGTTCTGGTTTCTCTGTTTCCCTCTGATGCTGATTAAATGCTAGAGCAAGGGATATCAATGCGATGACCACTCCTACGTATGCGATTGTGTTATTGCTGGATGACTCCTCAGGTTCTGCAAGTTTCTTTTTTCTCTCCTTTGCTAATCTGCTGATTGCAGCTAACCGTTTTCCCGCAGCTACTCTTTTTGGGTCTTTTGTCTTTTCACTTGTCACTACTTGGGTTTGCTCAGGTTTATCTTCCATTCTACTTGTAAGATACCTTAGGTTTAACTTGGTTTCATCTTGTGAGACATCTGGAGTCTACTTGTGAGATAACTTAAATTTACTTGTGAGATGTCTCAAATCTACTTGTGAGATAACTTAAATCTACTGGTGAGATAACTGGTGAGATGACTTAAATCTGTTGGTGAGATAACTTAAATTTACTTGTGAGATGTCTCAAATCTACTTGTGAGATAACTTAAATCTACTGGTAAGATAACTTGTGAGATAACTTAAATCTGTTGGTGAGATAACTTAAATTTGCTTGTGAGATGTCTCAGATCTACTGGTGAGATAACTTAAATCTACTGGTGAGATAACTTGTGAGATAACTTAAATCTGCTGGTGAGATAACTTAGGTCTACTTGTGAGATAGCTGGCGAGATAGCCCAGTAGTTGATGAGCTAGTACTTATCTAATTTGAACCTTGGCTTGTAGGTCTTTACGTCGCAAGTTGAATTTCTTACTGCGACTTTTCTTACGGTTTTCTTAAGTGAGAAGTACTCATTAATTCTAATACAAGTTTTCACTAGATCGTCGGATATCATTACCATATACTCTATTTCCATAAGCATACGAAACCATACTACCTGCTTCTCACTTGCAATTCCTGTGCCCTTAGGAGACTTGAATTCAATGGCAAATCCTTTGTACTTCCCCATAGGATTCTCTATAATAAGATCCGGCTGACCGCCTTTGTATCCCTTCTTCCAAGCGTCACATCTCTTTGACACAGTATCCTGGTACTCACCTAGACCAGGTATTATTACAGCCTCTGGGTAGTTATCTCTAATGTAACTCACAACTGTGTGATGAAGGTCCGTTTCATTTATAAGGATTATTTGGTTATACCTAAGTGACCTTCTATCTGGTAATTCATACGAGCTCGTCTTGCGGATAGCTGGGAGGACCTCGGTGAATACCCACCTCCTGAACTCCCTTGCTGTGTTAAGCTCCGATCCAAAAATTAATTGGTACAAACCCTGTTCCGTAATTAGGACGGTGCTAGGATGACCCTTTGGAAGGGTGTCCTCGAGGACACCCTTACGGATGGACCCCAGAGTGCACTTATCCTCTTCCCAAACATGGTTTCTAACTGCTTTCTTTGTGTCAAGGTACCCAAGAGATTCCGCCACATCTTTTGCGTAAAACAGGACCTCATCACCTTTTCTGGTAATTCTTACACTAACGTTTAAATCTTGGTTTCTGAATAGTTTTTCCATCTTTCTCTACACTTTATATGTAAAAATTTTTATGGTTATTTTGTGTGCTATTTAAATCTAATTTATGAAGCAGCATTCCCTCTTCCCACCCAGCTGCTTACTATAACTGCGTACATCCTACAGCAAATAAAATATTACATTTCATGTAGCTTCTTGTATATATTTACAACTGTTTTAATTGTGTCATCCCTGAATGTCTGAAAATCATGCTGGAGTGGTCCTACGATTTTATTTCTGAGTGAATATAGGTCTTTCTCTAATGAGTCAAGGGTTTTTTGAATCACATCTAGCTTCTTCTGGTTAGCTTCTGTTTTTTCAATCAACTCAGTAATTATGCCTTCAAACTCTGTTCCTTCCCAAGCGTTTTCCCATTCGTATCCTGACATTCTTCTTCGCTATGTAATAGGATATGTTTTGCTTCCTCTGATATCTCCTCAGGCTTCTCCTTCTTTTTCCACTTGTGAGCAACGACGTGCTTAGCTGTTGTACAACCACCTGATATTAAACCTATGAATGGAATGTTGGGGGATATCGTCCTTGTTAGATATGATACGTCATCCTTTAGAAGCTTATCACTAAGTAGTTCCTCTGATAGCTTATCTGATGATTCCACTGCACCGAAACTTCCTAATACAGAAGCAAACTTTGAGATAATAAGAGTTGATAAGAAGTCACTTGCACATGACATCCTCTGACTTTCATACTCATGATATAGTCTATCCACAACATCCTTGTTGGACTTTCTTATAAAACTTGCGGACTTCTCTATTACACCATCCCTTGATAGCTCTATAAGCTTGTCTCTTTTACTTTCAGTTTGCGACTTATCTGCGGTTTTTCTTGCGGTAGACTTAGCTTTCTTTTGCGGTGCCTTTGCGGCCTCTTCTACTTCCCTCACAGCATTGGATATTTCTTCGTCAGATTCAGATCCCATCTTTTATATTCTACGTGATGTTTTGTTTGATACCGACTACGTCAGTAGCGGCTACGCAGGCTACGCCTAGTAGTGTATGTGTAAGGGTGTATAAGTAGTATATCCAGTGCGGTGAACTTCTCATCTTTCAGTATTTTTGTGATCTCTGTAATTGTCTCCTGAGAAACACCACTTAGGTAATCATCTGTTATGACCTTCATATCCCTGCGACTAGGGTTGTAGAATGTAACTAACCTGGAAATGTTCTCCCTGAATGGTTTCGCTACTGATGACAATTGTTGGGTAATCACAATGACGGATAAGTTGTAATGTCTTGCGGAGAAAGCTAGGCGCACCAGTTCTGAGACTCTTTTCTTTACATCTTGACTTGCTGCACAATCGTCCACTATAATGAGAGTTTGAGTTCCACGAAATATGGTGGACAACTGCCTTAATAACTAAATTGATCATTTCTTGCGAACATGGAATTTGTATGACTCCGTGATCACTAATATAAGCCCAATTAATGTAAGTCATATTCCATTCTATTGTTGGACATATAATAACAATGTAATCAAAAACTTTATTGTATTCCGTTTCTAACATATTTAGTAAGAACTGAGTTTTACCACTTCCTGTCATTCCTACTATAAGCATGTTGAATGGTGGTTCGAGTTGCATCTCTATGCTTTACCGTTAGTATTGGATACTTGATAAATCTCTATTAGCAAAGTTAAGGAGGGCATCTGATACAATAAAAATATTACATTGAACGTCAGCTGTTGTGGCTCTCTTTTTGATTTCCATGAGTACGCCTGACTGTGTGTTAACAATTCTCCTTCCTCCACCGGTGGTATCATCCTGTGTTGACCTAAGATCAATTACTAGAGCGAAACCATTGCTGAAGAACTTGCTGACGGACATAAATTCATCTGCCATGGATTTTTCACACATGGGGCAGAAAAATCGTTTTGCCTCCTCGAAGAACCTATTTTTAGGAAGTCCTTGGGAGAAGACTGCATTAGGTACACCTTCAATGGTTAGGTTCACTTTATCAATGTTTGGGTAAATATACTCTTCAGAATTAGTTCTCACTCTATTGGTAAATAGAAGGACAATTGCCGACATGCTCTTTCTGGGGATATTTATGTTTTCATTCACAATGGTAAGATCCTTGTCCCAATTACTTGTGCGCATAAGTGTGACGTGTTTGTAGGACAGTGAGCGACCCGTGAATACATCCTTGACACTTCACTTGCAAGGGCGTCATTCTCAATGGTCTCGTATTCTAGCTCAAGATTGTCCAGTTTATAATTACCCTTAGCTTCACCTCCTTGGGCAGTCATAATCTCATCTGATTGTGGGAGTGTGAGGATGTACATAGGATTGTTGTTCATGTAAAATGGAGTGTATAGACCATGGTCTGCAATTATTTTATCAATTGGTTTTCTCAGCTTGGAACCGTACACACTGTGGAGAAGTGCATCTGCTATTTTATTGGCATCACCAACCTTAGTGCCTGAGTCATCACCTGATATTAACTTCCTGAGATTCTCACTTGCAAGACCCTGTTCAGTCATCTTCTTTCTATCACCTAGTGTTAGCCATAGATCTTTGTATATTTCATACAAACTCTCTCCCGAACAGTCATAAGCTGTTTCACCAGCTACTTTAATCTGAAGACGTTTAGCTATCAACTTAGACAGGTTATTATTAAAGTGGCTTTTTGTATTGGAATTTTTGAAGTCAAATAATAGTGCAAGTGATCCTGGAACTAGACAAGAGTCAGGCTTTAGTTTAGGTATGTTAATGTACAGCTCTTCACCTGGGCTAATAGTTGTTGGATTGAATGTTGTAACATTTAGGGTCCTGGGTCCCCTTATAGATGTCATGTGGCTCCTCCTGAAGCCAGGCTGTAGTTCTCTTTCTGTTGTATTCATACTTTTATACAATATGTGATGTTTAGCTTTCGAGATAGTTATACGCAATTAATGCAGCCGTTACAGCTAGTACCCATAAATTAGACGCTAACCAGGCAATTCCTTTGGCTCCCCATGATAGCGCTGTTGCAACTGCGTTCAGGATTGGAACTAGAATTGGTCCTGCTTTCTTTGCTAAATTTGCTAGTGCTTTTGCTACTTTACTAGTGGTCTTTGCTGTCTTAACAATGGCTCCCCTAGCATGGATTAATAGGGCTGTAATTAAACTAGCTGTTGACACTGCTATCCCTACAAGTCCCACCTTTTCCTTTCCAACCCAGTCTATAAATTTACGTAATCTAGAAATGTCTTCAACCTGGGCCTGTCTACCTTCCTCCAGTTCTCTCTGCATAGCTGTTCTATCTCTTGCTTCCCTGAGAGCGATTATTCTTTCTTCCAGTTTAATAAACTCCTCTGGATCATCAGTTTCCTCTCTCAACTTCATCGTTTTATCAATTGTATCCTGAAAGTGTTCCACCTGTACTTGAAGTGCACCTTCAGGTCCTATTCTACTATTAGGATCTGATCCCTCTCCCGGATTAAGAACACCGCGCAGCTCCCTATTTTCCTCGGGAGTTAAAGCTGGAATATCATCTAGTTGTTGACTTATGTCTATAAGCTCAATATCTTCAAACATATCTTCAACTACATCGGTTGTATCCACACCTGCTTCTTTTTCGGGTTCATTCTTAATTTTCCTCACCAGTTCCTTGTATTCTCTCAATGCAATGGAATTCTTAGAGTACACAGGTATGCTGGTCATACCACGTTTCATTATCTGGGTGCCACTCTTGTCAATACCCTGTTCACTTCTGAACATTAGCACCTCTGTGCCATCTTTAAGTGTCCTTACTGATGAGCGCTTTATAAGTTCCCTAACATACTTATTCCTAGGGTCGAGTACTAGTTTCTCCTTACCCTTAATAACTCTTACAACAGCTTGAACACGTTCCACTTGGTTTTCAAAGTCTCTTTTCTTCTCGATAGTTGAGAACTTTTTCAGTTTACTCAGCCGGGTCTCTATATCATCCCAGTCAGCGTCAAATGATTCGTTGAATGCATCTAGCACGTCTGGAAGTAAATTGTTTGGGTCTTCCACAAAGTCTACTCCTGGAACGTTTGTGCTTCCTGTTGGTCCTGAAATGTTTACTGTACCGTCATTATCCTCGGTGAAGGTTGTTTCTGCGATGTCACGTTCATTCATGAGTCGCCTTACGTAGCTGATTTCCCTGTTGAGGTCAGTAACTACCAATGGATCTGAATTATACTCTTCCTCTCTATTTAACCTATTTGTTAGTTCATCAAAGTTCGAAGTTAGGTCGTCGTAGTTCATGTCGTCATATTGAGGATACTTCTTTTCCGTCTCCTCCATTTCATATTCGTCATAGTCCTCCATAATACCTTAACTTATGTTAGGGACTTGATGTCTCCAGCTGGTATCCAACTGTTAAATTTGTCATCATAACCTAACCACTTAACTAGGGCCATCTTTTTACCCTTCACTGTTCTTCTTCTTAGTACTTTCTCTATTTTGAAATCAGGTTCTCTTCCTTCAGCGCTATATAGTTCTTGTTCATAGAATCTACCAATTATTGGTTCATCAGCACTGTCTTTTATTGTGTACGTGTTTGGATGGCCGTGATACACTTCCGTCACAGTGAACAACTCCTCTGTGAAGTTTGCTTCATACCCTTTTGTGAACACTGATTTGTATTTTGAAATTCTAACACTTTCTCCAACAGCAAACTTTGGTTCTGACGGCTTGCCTAAATTGTGACTAAAAAGTGTCTTCCATACTTCAGTCCAGTTGGACTCATTTACACTGTCTGGTGTTGTTTTAATTGATCTGTTCACTGAACTGTTGTAATTATCAGTTAAGTCTTGAAGGACGTCTAACCATTTATATGTACTGGCACTGTAGAAGTACTTCCACATTAGCGCTTTTAGTGTTCTGTTAAATCTTTCCACAACTGCGGCCTTTTTGTCTGAGTAAGTAGAGAAAAACTCAATGTTATGTTTATTAAGCAATGACTTTACATCTTTGTTGTAGAACTCTGTGCCTTGATCAAACTGGGCGAATTTTGGGTATTTACCAAAACGATTATTAAATTGCTCTAAAATGTTACTGACTGCGTCCTTCATTGATGTCGCGTTTTTCCTATACACTGGTACTGTGAATGCGTACCTACTCAGTATTTCGATTGATGTGAGAATCCATCGGTATCCCTTGTTCTTGTCGTCATATTTTGTCATGTCAACTAAATCCATTTGTAACTGTTCACCTAAAGTTTGAACGTACGTCTGTCTGAACTTATGTTTCCTGAACACTTGTCTGTACCTAGTGTATGTGTCCTGCTCGTTTATCCATTTCTTGACCTGGTTTCTGGTTACTTTAAGTCCTTCCGATATTGCTCTCAGATATAGTTTCTCTGGTGTTTGGAATCCAGTCTTAGGATTGTAGTAAATATCTCGTAGTCCCTGTTCTTTCATAATATCATCGTCCATCTTATATTAACCAATGTAAGCTAGTGCTCAAGGTACATCTCAAGTAGCACTTCACCTATATCAATAGGTTTCCCGTCTTGATCTGTCATGTAGAATACAAGTTCTGAGAAAGAACCCTTGACTACAGGAATTCTGCTTTCTACATCGATGTAGCTAACAACTGAGCCCAATAACGGTCTGTCAGTTGGAATTGTAACGCTTGTTATTACATCACTATGTCTTCCCCAGGTGTTAACATTAAAGCTGTTATTAGCTAGATTGCAGTGTATATTTACACCTCGTAGACCATTATTAAAGTCAACTTTGCTATCACTTGTTAAACTCCTTCCTTTTAGTAGGATCATAGGATTACTAAATCTATTAAAGCCAAGCATTGTTAAAAACCTGGTTTCTATTGTAACGTCTTGCTTTACAGCTTCAACCTGACATCCTGCTGTTTCCGGAAAATATGTTAGTTTAACACCGTGTCTCTCAAGTAATTTTCTCATACTATCAAATGTGTAGTAACCCTTGTTGACAATGACATCGGATTCCCCGTCAGCTGTTTTTACCTTGAGAATAGTTGTTGGTCCTATTATATTGAAGTATTCCCAGAACACTGAAACTCTCTTTATGAAGACTGAATTATAATTACTCGTTAGAACTGAATTCTGTAGTAAGACATTTGTGTGCGAACCTTGAAGTAAAACTGTAAACTTCATCTTAATAACATACGTTAGGTTATTAAGAATGATACCAGGTGGAGGAGACGTTGGGAAGTCGCCTTATAGGTCTTACCAAGATTATGAAAAAAAGTATGGAAAAGAGGATGAAAATGATGTTGATCCTATTGCTGGTAAAAAAGCTGAGGACGCTGAGAGGGCTAGGTTTGTCAAAAAGTACCCTAAAGCTGATATGAGTAGGTTTAGGTTTGAAGCTATGACTACAAGTAGTGGTGATATTGGAGTTGTAACATGGTTTGTTGATTTAGATGGTATATCTTCATATGATATTAGATATGACGGTTTCAAGAAGAATAAGGAGTTTACGTATTATCTCACAGGTACTAAGAATATTATTATCCCCGCACAGTTTATACCTATGCCTGACACGAAAGAACCTCCTCCAAAGTTACCAGGGACATCTTCTCCCGAGGTGAAGGGGGACGGGTGGCCGTATCTCTGGGATAGTCATGGAACACTTCAGAAAATAAGTTTTACTGATGGTGTTCCCGCCGTTGGATTGAATTCTCCTATTACAAACGTTAATCTTTCAAACTTCAAGGTTTATGTTAACAGTACCGACTTCTTCTACAGTAAGCTACCTAAGATTAGTGACTATATTAACCTTAAAAAGGTTACTCTAGAGTTTGATAAGGAATTACCGTATTATGCTGCAATATGCGGAACTTATGTGGCCACTTATTTATGTGGAGTTTCTACTTATCACACAAGTCCTCACGATGATGTAAATCCTATCATAACATCTATCATGAATTTTCATGTTTACCTATGGACTAGAAGATTTACCAAAAATCCTGCTTTACTTCAACCGTATCTCAGCGACCTAGGAGTAATATCTGGGCATACTCCCGTTCAGGGTCTATGGGAAAATTTAAAGTATAGTGATACTAGAGCATCTATTGGGGTTATTTACCAGAAATTCAAAAGAGAAGGTAGGACTGTTAGGAATGTTAAGTACGTTAGGAATTACTCCGGGAGAATAGCTGGGATCACTTATGACGAGCGGGTAGGTAATACTGCCCTTGCTGGTCATAACGACTGCCTAAGATATTACGCTAAAAGCAGCAATGCTTTTATGGACACCGCACTCATACAGGAAAGCCTGCAGTGTTATGTTTACTGTATCCTTGGAGCTCAAGCAAATACTAGGTGGGCTATTATTAAACGCGGGACTTCCTCGCTGCTAACACAAAAAGATTTCCGTCAGCTTGTTGAAGATGTTGTTGTTCAATCCGATTTAACTGTTGGTATATCTAATATGAGAATTGCAATTAGGGACACTAACGCTATAGTTAATACTGCGATAAACCCTGATATTATACTATTCCCATCAAATTTGGTAATACTAAAGAATCCGATTCCCGGCTACAGCAATATTCTACTTAAGCCTAATAAAGGTGTTAAGTTTGGTGTAAATACCAAAGTAAATTATGTTGGGGTTGAGAAGCCTGATCCTCCAAAGAAACAGCATCAAGACACTACACCAGTTCACCACCTGGATACTATTCACGGAACTAAAAAAGTTCCAGGGGGTCCTGTAGATAAACAGCACCACACTGATACCACTGAAAGCCTGGATAATATTCCAGAAGATCCTAAAATAGTCAGGCCTCAGGAAGGTCCAATTGACACCAAGCTTCAAGTTCCCACCACGGCACCCGGCGGCGTGTCCTCAGGAGTTGGTGCTGCCGCTGGAGTTGGAATTGGTGCTATAGTTGTATTCATTCTAATGAAAGTTGTCCTGTAAACATTATGTATTCTATGAGATGGCTCTCTATAGAGGATACAACAAAGGAGTAAATAAAGTTGACCCATCAAGTGGTAGTGTGTTTGATAAGGATGGATTTACCATGAAGGGTGACATTGAGATGGATGGTAATGAGGTGAAAGGTCTAGGTGCACCTACAGATGATACTTCTGCGACCACAAGAAAGTGGGTGGATGATGAGATCATTAAACGGGCTGCTCTTACAATTCAACCAGCAGGGTTCACAATGACTGGGGATATTAACATGGGAGGTAATAAGATAACTAATCTTGATAATCCTACTAATCCAGGTGATGCTGCTAGTAAGAGTTGGGTTGAAGGTAGTCGTAGGCATATACATGCAAGTCTACCTGGACTTATCCTTACAAATGATCTCAATATGTCAACCAATGAAATAAAGGCTTTAGGTGATCCCACAACTGGAAAGTCTGCTGTTAATAAGGACTGGGTAGTTAGCGAGCTAAATAAACCTGTATCTGGGGATATTGATATGAAAGACCATGAGATTAAGAATCTTAAGGATCCCTCTGAGGATCAGTCAGCTGTCACAAAAAAGTGGGCGGTTGATAATAACTTTGTTAAAAAAGGTGGAACTATGCAAGGAGATGTTTCCATGGGAGGCTGGAGACTATTTGATATTATTGACCCTAAACTTAGTAGTGAAGCTGTATCTAAAGGTTGGGTTGAGAGTAAGCTGTCTACAATTCCCAGTTCCTCTGGTTTTACAATGTCAGGTGATCTTCAAATGGGTGGACATGAAATTAAGAATGCTGGTAATCCCACTACTGACCAATCTGTTGTTACAAAAAGGTGGTTTGACTCAAACAGGGGAACATTTCTAAGGCTAAGTGACTCTTTCCTATTACAGAGTGTAACCGGGCCTATTAGCTTCTCTAGGGCCCCTAAAAGTTTCTCAGATGGGTTAGATTCAGCCAGTCTTGTAAGATTTAGCCAGCTAGTTACCTATCTTAAACTAAACGGTCTAAGTGAAATGACTGGTAATCTTAAGATGGGCGGAAATGAAATTGAAAATATTAGTAATCCTAGTGTTGATACATCTGCTGTTTCCATGGGGTGGGTAAAAAATAATGTTGTCACGCGTGCGGGTGGTTCTAAAAACAATATGACCGGTACCTTGTGGATGAAAGGTAACAGAATACGTGAACTCGGAAATCCTGAGTATCTCACAGATGCTGTAAATAGAGGGTGGGTTGAAAATAAGATCTCTGGAGGTAGACGTAAACGTGAGACTTATAGTGGTATTACACTATCTGATGACCTTGACATGAATAACAATGAAATAATAAAGTTAGGTGCTCCTACTACTGATAATTCTGCTGTGTCTAAGAAATGGGTCACGGATCATGTCAGCGTGAG